TATGTATGTTCATTATTCAAGTCAAAATATGTTGCTCCAGTTTTTTACAAATGTTTTATTTTATCAGTGATCCCAATGCTATCAAAACTAGCATAAAATAGGCACCTGTGAAAGCGTTTTATTAGTTGAAGAAAAGAAATAAAATTCCGTTTTTATCTTCTAGACAAAAACATAACATATTTTTAGAGCCATTTTTCTAGTGAAGGGTAATAAGAAAAGAAACATACTTTAAAAACAATTCAGATTCAAAGAGACTATTCAAATGTTCTGTGCATCTATTCAAAATTTTATCATTATCACGAAGACTGATAAGATGAGAATATTGCATGTCATTGATTAAATTAATAAAAATTCTACCACCGAACTATTCTTGATTATCCGAGAAATTTTTTTGATTTAGTTATCTCAAATGAAAGGTCTAGTCAAACTATAGTATAATTTGAACAATAGGTTATTTAATATTATTCATCAAAAATGGAAGTTGAGTCAAGTATAAAAAGCTTATTTTGGCTACTGAAAATTGCTAAAGATGGGTTCTTTTAGTAGTTTGACTTCATCTGAACAATATTCTGATCTTTGGAGTTGGAGTATGGTAAGTAGGGTGTTAGAGTGCCTCAAGAGAAGACTTACACCTCTTCACACACCCATACTCACAACATAGTTACCCACGTCTACACGCATATTCAAGAAAATGATTATGAGTTTTTTCTTAATGCTTTCTTGATAAATTAATGTCTTATCCTATCGTACATATTCTTAACAAACTGATTTCGAATCGATGAGAAGCGATGCTATAACAGCTGCCACAACACCTGCGGGACCAGCATCAATCAAAACGGCTTTCACAGCTTGATTCGTAATAACCTTAGCCGGTTGTTTTTGAGCCCATTGCCAAACAACAGCGGCTGCTCTCGCAATTGTTGAATCAGGATCTTCATTATCATTGTTTTTAATCTCTCGCTCGATTTCAGCTTGAGACATTCTTGTTCTTTACAGTATGGTTGTAGACCGATATGAAGCAGATAAAAGCTTTTGCCAGACGCTCGTCAACTTGTTACCCGAAGAAGAGAAGCGGTATATTTTTCTTGTCTCTTTTTATTACATCTAACAAACATATATATTACACGTCTTATACAGAAATCGATATAGTTATATTTCTTGTAGTACTGTTAGAATGTGAGTGTGAGTCTACTTTTCAACGAAACACACACTCACGCTCACACCCGTACGTACCCAAACTCAAACTCACACCCTCAATCCACACATGTGGGTACAGGTGATGGGAGTAGCAGCCCACTATCATCATATCTCATACCTACACCTAATTTTTTGTAACCTGCTGTGACGTATTTGTTTGTTTCTATTACACCAGTCTCCTGTAAACAATCGCAAGTGTCTCGTTAAAACCTACAATACAAATAAAACAACATCTTTCTTCAAATTTCTGTTTTCTTTCTTTGCTTGACTCAATGTTACTGGTTTTCGTCACAACATTGTTATTTTTTATTTGTTCTTCATCAATTTTTTTTCGTCCTTCAAATAGAAGACCGAGTAACTTGGAAAAAATCAACTGCAATGATGAAAAATTAAGAATATATACAAACATCTAAAACTTCCTACAAATGGATTCAATAATTTCAGATATAAATAATGGTATGAATGTGCGTGTCGGTAAAATGTGGATAAAGAAAAGTAATACACTCCACACCAATACCCACACCCATTCGATTACTCTAGAGTGATTTCTTGAAACTATGATCAACAAAATTTCAAGATTTCGATCGACTACGGTTTGAGTATTGTTTCGATCGAGCAGAATATTCACACGCACATTCTTATAACAATTCAAATGTGCTCTTTATGTCTCACTTTCTAGGAATTACGCATAGAATATAATATCTTCAAAATCCAACTAGTAGCATCCTTGCTAAGCCAAAAGAAACTGTCTGTAATGAAACCATCATCTTACCATCGACAACACTACATCTTAGTTTCGATGATATTCTTTCGAGATTACATATTCTAAATATGTAGATCATATGACTTATTTGTAATCTTCCCATCATCTGAACAGTTGCAAAGTCATAATTACATTATGAGACCCTCAATCATAGTCGAAACGCGTCGTAGTTTTCTCGATACCTACACCCTAGGATGAAGACGTTACTTGCAATCGGTCTTTGAATAGATCAATAGCAGTTTTACTTTTTTTCTCTTTAATCGCATTTTATAATAAAATATATATAAAAAGAATATCAAACAGTTTGAATTAGAAATCGTTGGATTCGATGATTATTTGAATCAGCCACATAAAGGTTACCAGATTGATCGAATGCTAAACCTTCGGGACCATTTAATTGATTAGCTTTTTTGCCGACATTGAATCTATCACCTGCAATCATCTTTCCGCGCAAGGCATCCTTGTCCCATCGCATCACTCGATGATTCCAATAATCAGCTACATAGACTGTGCCCAACTGATCGACGACCAATCCTGTAGGATAATGCAATTGCGTTCCATCTTTTCCTTTACCGTGGCCACCAGCCACAACAACACCAGTTGTCGCATCCTTCTCCCATTTCACCACGCGATCATTCCAAGTATCCGATACATACACAGCTTCATCTGGTCCAACAAAAATGTATGTCGGATGGTTAAGTTGATTGCGATGACTACCCTGCCCATTGCCACCTGCTACGACTTTTCCATGGCGGCCATCTGACCAATATCGTCTAACCTCATGCCGTTCGGTATCAGAAACGTAGAGAAAACCTTCATCATCCATAGCTAATCCATAATATCCGCTGCCTCTAATGATTGTTTCTGGACATGTGCCACGTTTTTGCGACCATCGCAATACTCGTCGATTATAGTAGTCAGAAATAATGAAACTTTTTGACTTATAGTCGTAAATCACATTTGATGGTTCACACAAAAAATCTGGACCATATTCAGATATATTCTTACCGGCTATCGTTCGTGCAACACTTGTACTTCGAGTAAATTTCATTATACGATGATTCAAACTATCAGCAACGAAAACACTTTGATTTTTATCCACGAAAAGACCTCTAGGGCAATGAAGTCTTTTAAATGTAGCACTACGACGATCACCACCGACGACAGTTCTCGCATTAAATTTCCATGTAGCATTTTCTGGAATATTCGGTATAACTGCAACGAGAGAAACATACAATCGATGAAGAATACAGAAAAACTTCTGCTCTAATTAAAATTCATTTGCAGATAATACTTGATTTCTAGCCCAGAGCATGATCTTACTCCAGAAAAATAGAATAAGAGAAAATAAATGCTACTGAAGGGAGAATCTACTCATTGGCTTATTCAACATCGAAAATGGAATAGAATAGATAATGTTTATTCCAGTAGTGAAATCAATGGAAATCGTAATATTGGGTAGCTTTAGACTTTATATTAAAAACTATCACCGGATGAACGTAAACGAGTAAACCAAGACAGTAAAATTCAATTTTGTTTGATACGTACTTTTTGAAACTCTATTGAGAAAGATTTTGCCACAACCAAGTAATCCATTCATAAATAGTGTTTGTTGAGTTTGATTGCTTCCCCGACGCGTATCGATGGCTACGTCTTGAAAAATATTAAGGACATTAACATTTTTTCGGGTAATATTCCTAATTAAGTGTTCGACAAATAGGCAATTTCGACTTGTTTCCCTAACGCCCTTGACTGCGTGATTAGCAGCGCATATAAATTGGATAAATGCTCCAGGAAGAGGCTGAGTTTCACGTAGGAGTTCGCCTTGGATCACACCTACAGAAATATGAATTTTGCTTTAGAAAATCATATATCATATCACTTACCATAAGATGCTGAAGGTGTACTCAGTTTGTATGGTACACAGCAATCCAAGATAAGTATAGTGGCGTATGAAAGATTTCTTTTCACTAGTCGCTCCAGTATATGTTTTACTTGGATACCCATATCTTCCACATCTTTTTCAGCGTCTATATTAGCATCATCAACAGGTATCAAATAGTTCGTACCCTTGACCTGACAGCCATGACCAGAAAAGTAAAATAGTATCAAGTCGCCATTTTTTATTTGGTTGCAGAAACTTCTTATCAGCTCCATCATATTTGAATCGGCATCGATATGCTTCGTGACATCGAAATTAATTTTCTTGAGCGAATTACTCAGATCATTTACGTTGTTGATAGAATGATTCAATTTGCTGTCTGGTTTATTGTAGTTGTCGTTGCCAATGATCAGCGCTAACTTTTGGCAAGTGAATGAATTCATCTGTGCAATTGCTATTTTTTTATCAAGATCTAAAATATTAAATTTAGGATAGTCTTTATACTTCGACATTGATAGAATATTCTTCAGCGAGATAAACACGATCATTTCTGTCGATGATTCAATGCTCACATTCAAGTAATGTGTTGAATCAGTGTAAAATAGAAAGGAATCTGCTATCACACTTTAGTTTACACGATGTTTTTCATGGAAGAATGTGATTTCGCTCTATACTTTGAAATAGGAATTAGAAATCGTTTAAACAATCTTGTTCCTTTCAATTCTCAATTACGATCTCCTGGAAACATTTATGAAATAATGTAATTTAGATGGTGGAATATAACTTTTCTTTTCGGCTTTTGAGTGCCTAATTGAAAAAGCAATCAATTTTCCGTTGAAATAGTTTTGAACAGATCCATAAATAATGTACTTCTTTTCGATATCACGTCGATCATTGGTAGTTTTACTTAGGTCATACCAAAAGTAGTGAGCCTCGCATCTTAATCTCGTATAGACTGCTTGGAAAAAATTTCTTTTTTTATGAACAGATAGAGCGTCTTTTGCTCTATCTTTCTATGCTGTTTGATTACTATTCAACTAATACCATAATAATAAAATTTCGATAACATCTGTTTCTTTCGCATATGTCCTGGTACCATGAACATGAATGCTCGTGGGTATTTTTTGAATAACGTTTGATAGCAATAAAATAGAGAACTGCGGTTTTCACCGTTGGAAAAGGAATGTGAAGGCACATCGAACCGCATATTACTAGTTTTTCTAACCTATTTTTTGTAAGGTTTTCAGTTGACCTTTTAAAGAACAAACCCATTCCGAGAGTTATTTACAGTGAATGTTCAATATTCAGGTTCACATTGAAACCCAAGGGAGAGAAAGCGGATTCTGTGTATCGGCGATACGTACGATACATACGGTACGAACGATACGATTGCAATCCAGATAATATATGTAGAACTAAGAAGTAGGGTGCACCAGTCCGACTGGGTCCTCCTATCTATCCTAGGAGGGGTACTCGGGTCCTCATCTGCCTATCCTAAGGGAGGTCTCGGGCCCTCAAGTCCTATATTGTGGGGGTACCCATAGGTCCTTATATCCTATATTCTAAGGGTACCCTTGGGTCCTTATACCCTATATTCTGGGGGTACCTTCAGGTCCTCAAGTCCTATATTAGGAGAGTACCTATAGGTCCTCAAGTCCTATATTCAGAGAGTACCCTAAGATTCTCATCTCCTATTGTATAGAGGTATGGATGTAGCAATACCAAGACCAGTCAATAGCAATTGGTATTGGTATTGGCTAGTATCAGTATTGGTGTCCTCAAGTTTCTATATCTGGGATACATCTTGGGATTCTCATGAGCCACTATTTAGAGACACCCTTGGTCCATCACGTGGCATTATTTTGAAGTGCCCTTGGGTCCCGATGTTCTGTTAGCCTGTCGCCACTCGTTGCTCCACAATAAAAACTCAATATGATTTTATCAAGTGGGAAAGTGCTGCACCCAGCACCTTAGCACCTGCGCCGCACCTCGGCACCTGCTTAGCACCTCAGCACCCAGCCAGCACCTTTAGCATATTTTACTATGAGCACCTTCAAGCACTTCCCCACTATCCTAAATGCTTTTCCGGCATCTTACGGTAAAATTTAGCACCCAGGTTCTGCTCTTCAAATTTTAGCCTAAGGTACTGAAAAAGCTACTTAGGATAGTAGGGAAGTGCTTGAAGGTGCTGTTGGTGCCGAAGATGCTCATAGTAAAATACGCTAAAAGTGCCGAACAGGTGCTGAGGTGCTAAGCAGGTGCGGAGATGCTGAGCAAGTGCTGGGTGCAGCACTTACCCTCTTGGGTTTTATTCTATTGTGAAAGTTATAAGTTTGTGCAGGCGTTCCTTTTGCAATGGTTGTGTTTCATGCTACCATTAAGAATTAATTAGCACACAAGTACAAAGGATCCTAGAAATCTACGCACAGTTCCCACATGGAAAGGGATATATTTTGCATAATGCGAGAGAAATATGCAAACATCCATTGACTATAAAACAAGGATCTCCCATTTTGGAAAGATAGATAGGTCAGACTCCCGAGTTTTATAATCGTTCGTATCGTAGGATTCCACACTGGCAATATTATTCAAGTGTGATCAACTCGTGCATAATTGGTATGAATTATACTTCAGTTGCTGAAGAAACTTTATTTTTTCGTGAAAGGTTTATGCATATCGCCGCAAAAATTAGTATAAATTTGCATCATTTGGTTTCTGAGCTGTATATAATTTCCTCACAAGAAAAGACCTAAGAGAACGTTGTTGTTCCATACATAAAACCTTTTCAATACTTCTAAGACAACTATGCTGTATTAATACGAATTGGTATATATTTTCCAACACTTGAAAGGCATTAATTTTTGTGATTTTTCTGTTGATAGAAAATGTATACAAAGCAAACCAATTGAGACATATCGGTGGTCTATACTTAAATACTGAGAAGCAATGAGTTCACTTATCAATTTCCGAAAGTATTTGTTCTGTGCTCATTTGGGACAGATGGGCTTCTAATGTGTTTGGAAAGCGATAACCTTGTGATTGGGCTTCTGTTCCATATGGGCTTCTACATATTATACGGCGGACTTATATTCTGTGGGGAATTTTAAAAGACGTAAGATCCGCAGCGTACAGTCGTATAATGGCATGTGAGAACCCAAGGGTACCTCCAAATAATAGCCCATGAGGACCCAAGAGTACCTCCAAATAGTAGCCCATGAGGGCCTAAATGTACCTCTAAATAATAGCATATGGGAACCTAAGGGTACCTCCAAATAATAGCCCATGAGGACCCAAGGGTACCTCCAAATAGTAACCGATGAGGACCTAAGGGTACCTCTAAATAATAGTCCATGAGGGCCTAAGGGTATCTCTAAATAATAGCATATGAGGACTCAAGGGTACCTCCAAATAATATCCCATGAAGACCTAAAGGTATAGTCAGCGGAACATTCGTATCCACGATCCCTACGATCCCATGGTGATCCATACAATCCGTACAATCCCATGGCGATCCGTACGATCCGTACAATCCCGGGATCCGACAATCCGCTTTTTCCCCCTTGTTGAAACCGCTAATCGAAGATTTACAAACTACGAAAGACTCAGATGTTTAAATTTAATTATTTAGAGATAATACGTTATTCTAACTACGATTTTCTATAAACTTTTTTGCTTCTTCTTTTTTTCATAAAAAAAATTTTTTCAACGATTAGAAAATTGAATAAGAAAAACTTCAGAAATCGTATTAGAAAAAACAGTAATATACAGTTCGATGCATCTTCATCTCGTCTTTCCAGCGGTGAAAATCGCAGTTCTCTATCTTGTTGCTATCAAACGTTATTCAAAAAATACCCACGAGCATTCATGTTCATGGTACCAGGACATATGCGAAAGAAATAGATGTTATCGAAATTTTATTATTATGGTATTAGTTGAATAGTAATCAAACAGCATAGAAAGATAGAGCAAAAGACGCTCTATCTGTTCATAAAAAAAGAAATTTTTTCCAAGCAGTTTATACGAGATTAAGATGCAAGGCTCAGTACTTTTGGTATGACCTGAGTATTTTAGATTTCTTTGAAAGCAGTTTAGAAGATTGAGGTCATTTCTTTTAGATTAGATAAACCTTGTAAGGCTCTAACAATACCATTCTGGTGACGTATATGGGT